GACTCTGTGTTCCGTGGGCATGGTCATGGTGGTCGTGTGTTGACGTGGTCATCCCTCGCGGTCCATTTTCGTCGCCTTGACCTCGCTGGGGCTCGTTTGCTTGCTGACGTGGTGTTGCCGCGTTGTTGACATGGTTGTTGTTGGTGGTCGACGACGTTTGTGGGCAGTGGTGGCCACAGGTGACTGTGGTGACGTGGCGTGGGTGGGTAGTGGGTGCGCATTTACGAGGAGCGGGGACGTTGGTGGTGGTGGGAGGAGAGGTTGGTGGTGGTGGGAGGAGAGAGGGTTGTGTTTGGACAAGCATGAAAGCCATTGCCAAACAAACAACAAACTGGATTCCGGTTGCATTCTGTTTTTGCCAATCCAGGGACCATTCTGGTCAAAATTCCGGAATGCTGAAATTCTGCCGGAATGGTAAAGCACCAGAATGAAGAAAATAGCAGGACTCCCTGCCAAATTTCATTCCTCTGGAATCCACCGGAATCCGCAGGAATGACCGGAATCCTAGAACTGATGGGATGATGAGGGCGTACAAGTGATGACAAGGGTGTGCAAATGACAATGACAAGAGGGCATGCAAATGACAATGACAACGAGGGCGTACAAACCACGATGAGGACGAAGAGGGTGTACAAACCACAACAAGGACAACGAGGGCACCACAACGACGAGGCCATACAAACCACAACGACAGAGGCCGTACAAACCACGATGACAACGACAAGGAGGGCATACACATGACAAGACGACGAGGGTGTACAACGACGGATGGCGACGACAAAGATACGATGAGTGCCCCCCCCCTCCACACACACCCAGGGTCGAGGCTCAATACTCCACTCTCACTGCCCACCACCCTCACCCCCTCTCATTCAGTGCCCACCACACCTCTCACTCATTGCCTACCAACCCCCTTCCCCCCTCCCTCATTGCTTACCAACCCCCTTCCCCCTCTCTCATTGCCTACCACCCACCTCCTTCCCCCTCTTCCTCTTCAGTGCTCACCACCCCTTTCCCCTCTCCCTCATTGCCCACCACCCTCACCCCTCTTACTCACTGCCTACCACTCCTCCACTCCCTCTCCCATTTATTTAATATTTAATGTAGTAATGTAAATTTATATAGTTGTATTGAATGAAATGCAGAATTCTGCAGATATATCTACCAAGATCTTGTTTCAGGATATAAAAGATATTCTGGTAATATATCCTAGTAATATATCCTGGTTCAGGATATATTTGAAAAATATATACTTTCAGGAAAGAAATCTTTGCAAGTTATTTCTGCCCAAGGTTGAAAAAACTTTGACTAGTCAAGAAATCTTTGTGAAATATTTCTTATGAGGTTTAGAAATGTTTGTTGGGCTAGAAATGTTT